ATATTCTGCAGCTTTGGGGTGAAATGTTCTGTAAATATTAATTAAATCCATCTGATCTAGTGCACCATTTAGTCACTATTTCCATGCTGGATTTTTGTCTGGAAGATCTATCCAGTGAAGTCAGTGGGGTGTTAAAGTCAACGACTATGACTGTATTGCTGTTGATCTCTCCCTTAAAGTCCTTAAGGTTATTATTGATAGGTCCTTATTTATTGCCATTTTAATTCTTTATGCTTATGTTTCTCTATTTCTTCTTATTATTACAGCAGTCCCTTTAACATTCCTGCAATGCTGGTTTGGTGGTGATAAACTCCTTTAGCCTTTTTTTGTCTGGGAAGCTCTTTATTTCACCACCTATTTTGAATGATAGCCTAGTTGGATAGAGTAGTTTTGGTTTCAGATCCTTGTTTTGCATTGTCTTGAATACTTCATGTCATTCCCTTCTGGCCTATAGAGTTTCTGATGAGAATCAGCTGACAGCTTTATGGGAGCTCCTTTATAGGTAACAGATTGCTTTTCTTTTGCTGTCTTTAATATTCTCTCTTTGTTTTGAATTTTTGGCATTTTAATTATGATTTGTTTGGGTGTCGCCTCTTTCTGTTCTTCTTGCTTCGGACTCTCTGTGCCTCCTAGACCTGTGTTACTTTTTCCTGCACCAGGTTAGGGAAGTTTTCTGCCATTATTTCTTCAAATAGGGTCTCTAACCCTTGTTTACTTTCAACCTCCTCTGGCACTCCTATGATATGAATACTGTTACATTTCATGTTGTCCCACAGCATCCTTAGACTGTCCTCCTGTTTTTTAATTGTTTTTTCTTTTTGTGTGTCTGATTGATTTTTTTCTACCTTGTCTTCTAATTTTCTGATCTGATCCCCAGCTTNGAAACATCAATGATGAGAGAGTCATTGATCAGCTGCCTCCTGGACACCCCACACTGGGGATCGGACCTGCAATCCGGGCATATGCCCTGACTGGGAATTGAACTGCAGTCTCCTGTATCAGAGGCTGCTGATCGGGCCTACTACATATAGTTTCCAAATGAGTTTCATACTATGGCATCTCCTACTTATGGGCACCTTCCCAAGTTCTACTGGCATGAGCTCTTCTAATAGATGGCTTTACCATGAGTTCTGTTAGTGTGATACTTTAGTAAATTTTTCAGACATCTTTGGCTAGGTCCTCACCACAGGGTCTGTATTTCAGCCCTGTTGGGAGTAGCCCCTTTATAGATTTCTTTTCTTTTCAAATTTATCTTTATTGTTGAAAGTNCTGCCTATTTGAGTTTGTTTCTATGTTAGGTAGGCCTGCTAGGACTCTCAGTCTTTTTGGATGGTCTCTGGTGCAGGCCAATGTCAGACACTGTTTGTGACTGGCCTTGAGTACCCTGTTTGAAGCTATCGACAACCCACAGCTTAAGGTCCCCTCTGTTGGGGCTGGATGCATTTGGAGAGGACCAAGATGCACACCAAAGTCTGCTTTTCCAAGGCCCAGGTCCAGAAGCAGATCAGGCAAAGACTCAAAGCACTCTAAAGTCTGCCTCTGCCTGCAGACTGATTGATCTGATTCTCTTAATGAGCTTCAGGCTGTAGAAACTCCACGGGATAGGGTGAGAAGTTTTCCAGCAGGGTGGAGCAATTGCTTCCCCCTCAGGCAAAAGCTGCTTGGAAGGTAAATGTCTGCCTCTGCAGTATGGGGGAATGACTCAGCACAGGAATCCAGAGGGTTGCCCTCTGAGCTCTATCTCCAGAGCCCACAACCTNTCAGCACAGGAATCCAGAGGGTTGCCCTCTGAGCTCTGTCTCCAGAGCCCACAACCTTAGATTCTCCTTACACAGCTCCAGTCCACTCTGCCCTCCCTCTGCTGGAGCCCAAGGTGGATGGCTGCACACGAAACTTTGTGTGTTGGCTCTTTAAGAGAGTGCCTGCATTTCCAGCCGTCTCTCCCTAGCAGACAGAAACCCGGCTGCTTTTCACAGCCAGATGTTATATGGGCACCTTCTCAGTTCTGGTGCTCTTGGGGGTTTAGGCCCCAGAGTCCTCAGTGAGAAGCCCCTCCCCCGGCTGAGATATCCCTCTGGACCTTCATCTGCTGCTTGTGGGAGCCCAACCAACCCTCTCACACCTCCACACTTCCACCTTGGTTATGAGAGTGCTGTCCAGCTCCTCTTCAGTTGCAGTTGATTATTCAGGATGTTGTTTCTGTATCTTAGTTGTAATTCCAGATTGGTCCCAGGAGAGTGTCAGTACAGCTTCCACTCAGTCCACTGCCATCTTTAGTCTCTAGATTTATTTTCTTGTTGGTCTGCGACAGCCCTTGAAGTAGTGGCTATTCCCTATTATCTGCTGTCTCTTTACCCTTTACTACTTAGGCCCCTGTTGTAATTAAAAATACTTTATATTAAATTTTTCTTTTCAAGTTACCATGTAGTTTCTTGTCTTTTAATTGTACGTTGACTGACATATCAGGTTTATAAGTCGTACTTTTTTCATACGATTGTTCTGAGGATTAAATGGGATAATACGTGGTATCTTTAGAATACTGTCTGCCACTGAGTGTGTACTTATATTTGTTGATGAAGTTGATTCAGTCATCATCACTGTCGCTACCACTAGTTAGGAGTAACTTTTCCACTTTTTGTTCACAGGATGTTTCGTCTTAAATCACTTTCTACATTGGCAGAACTGGCCCTGGGCTCTCGATGGTACCATGGAGGATCACAGCCCACCCAGGTCAGGCGGCGACTAATGGTAGTGGCTTTCCTGGGAGCATCTGCAGTAACTGCAAGTACTGGTCTTTTGTGGAAGAGGTGAGTGTTACGTGAGCATCATGTTCTTACGTGTACTTTGATTCTTCCAGTTGTTTCTGTTATCTAAAAGGAATTGATTTCTGGCTTACCTTTATATCAAAATTTCTTGCCCAAATCATTTGGTATGGATGATATTTATCTATGAAATAAGATGTTTCAGAGAATTCAGCTATCATTTCAAAGCAACCAATAGGAAGTATTCTGCTTCATGATCTCTGTCTCCTTTGCTAAACATTTTAACTTATTTACCAATTTAATATTTTTAATACATTTATAATAAATAATTAATATAATATAACAAATTTAATAATTTAACATGTAAAATTCAGTAGTTTTAAATATATTCCCAAAGCTGTGCAGTCATCACCACTATCTAATTCCAAAAATTTTCATCACTTCATAGGAAATTCTATATCATTTAGCAGTCACCTTCCACTTTCTCTGTATTCCCTGGCCCCAGGCAATGCCTCATCTACTTTCTGTCTTTAGATTTGCCTATTCTGGGCATTTCATATGTCTGGAATCTTATACTATGTGGTCTTTTATGATAGGTTTCACTCACTTAGCATAATGTTTTCAGGGTTCATCTATGTGGTACCATGAATCACTACTTCATTTCTTTTTATGGCCAAATTATATTCTGTTGTATGGAGTGTGTACCACATTTTATTTGTGCACTTCTCTGTTGATGGCTATTTAGATTGTTTCACATTTTTGGCTATTATGAGTAATACTGCTGTGAACATTTCTGTACAGTTTTTGGGGTAGAATATGTTTACATTTCTCTTACCTAGGAGTGAAATTTCTGGATCATATGGTAACTCTGTTTAGCTATTTGAAGAACGGATGGACTTTTTTCTAGTCTCACTAGTGATGCATGAGTGTGAATAAAGTCATTATGAACATTTATGTACAAATACCTCTTCAAGTCTCTGCTTTCACTTCATCTATGTATCTAACCAGAAATAGAATTGCTGGATCATGTCTTCAGTTTTTGTTTTTTTTATAAAAAGTCAATGGTAATTCCTATCTTTGTTTTTAATGTATGAACTATATCTTTTTCCTTGACTTTTATGATATTTCTTTTATCACTTATTTTTAACAACTTGATTATGATGTGTTTTGGTGCTGTTTACTTTGTGTTTATTCTGTTTAGTGTTCATTGATTTTCTTGGACTTTGAGTTGATAGTTTTCATGAACTGTGAACAGCTTTTGCCCATTACTTCTTCATCAGATATTTTTGTCTCCACTGCCCCCCCCCCCACACACACACACTTTCTGGGTCTTCATTAACACACGTACTAGACCATCTGATCTTATCCCATGTATCACTAAGGTAATGTTTATATTTTGTACAGCCCTTTGTCTCTCTGTGCTTTAGTTTTGGAAGTTTTTATTGTTGTATCTTCAAGGTCATTGATTTCTTTTTCTGAAGTATCTCTTCTGCTAAGTCTACCTAGTGATTTTTAAAATATTTTACACATCGTGTGTTTTTTTAATTTTTATTTATTTTATTATTATTTTTAAGTATGTCTTTATTGATTTCAGAGAGAGGAGGGGAAAGGTGGAGAGAGAGAGAGAGAAACATCAATGATGAGAGAGTCATTGACTAGCAGCCTCCTCCACGCCCCTGACTGGGGGTCAAGCCTGCAACCCGGGCATTTGCCCCAACCCCGCATCAAACCATGATCTCCTGGATCATAGGTCTACGCTCAACCGCTGAGCCATGCCAGCTGGGCACACACATTGTATTTTTAATCTCTAGAAGTGCCATTTTAAAAATAACATTTAATTTTTTCTTCATGTCCATGTTTTTCTTTAAATGCTTTAACATTTATAATAATCTTTTAAAAGTCCTTTTCTGTTTAATCTATTATTTCTGAGTCTGTTTATGATTCTGGGTCTTGTTTGCCTGTCTCTCTTTTTTAATCTAATACTTTTTAAGAGGCTATTGCTTTTTTATTGTGGTAAAAAATTTGTAAAATGAAATTTACCACCTTAAGTGTACACTTCAGTGATTTTAAGTACATTCACATTGTGCAGCCATTACCACTCTCTATCTGCAGAACTTTTTCATCTTTCCAAATTTAAACTCTATACCATTTAAAAAATACACAAAAAAACCCTTCCTATTCCTCTCTCCTCCTGTACTCTGGTTACCATCTATTCTTTGTCTCTATGAATTTGACTACTCTATGTACCTCATATAAGTGGAATCATACATTGTCCTTTTATATTTTGCCAGTTTCACTTAGTAAAATGTCTTCAAGGTTCAACCATATTGTGGCACGTGTCAGAATTTTCTTTTTATATTGTGTGTCCAGTAACTTATTTTTGTAGTTAAAGTTCTTTTTATACTTGGTCTTTTAACTTCTGTTACAGAATTTAAAGTGATTTACACATCACCATTATAGTATAACAGTATTCTGTATTTGCCTGCTTATTTACCTTCACCAGTAAGCTTTATAAACTTTCACCTGTTTTCATATTGCAGTGTAATTTTTTGTTTGTTTGTTTGTTTGTTTAGCATTTTTTGTAATATAGGTTTAGTGGTGATGAACTCCCTCAGCTTTTGTTTGTCTGGGAATGTCTTTATTTCTCCTTGATTTCTAAAGGATAGTATAGTATCTTTGGTTGGCAGTTTTTTCTCTGGGCACTTTCTATATGTCCTGCTATTCCTTTATTGACCAGTAAGGTTTCTAATGCAAAATCTGATTATAATCGTATGGAGTCCTTTTGTACATGATGAGTCGCTTTTTTTCTGCTGCTTTAAAAATTCTCCCTTTGTCTTTGACTTTTCACAATTTGATTATAATGTTTGGGTTTCTGCTATTGGGAATCATTTGGCCTTCTTCAGTCTGGATGTCTGTTAACTTCCCAAATTCAGGAAGTTTGTGGACATAATTTCTTTAAATAAACTTTACACCCCTTTATCTCTATCCCTTCTTTTTCTGGAAGTCCCACAGTATATGTATTGGTCCTCTTGACTTGGCCCATAAACCCCTTAGGCTTTCTTCAATTTCTTTTGTATTTGTTCCTCTGGTAATATCAAATGATCTCTTTTCGCTTTCATCAATTCTTTCTTCTGCTTGATCAAGTCTGCTATTGAAAACCTCTAGTCAGTTTTTCAAGTCAGTAATTGTATTATTCAGTGCCAGAATTCTGTATGCTTTTTTATATTTTTGTCTCTCTTAATACTCATTTTTTTAATGCATTGTTTTCTTGAATTTGTAGAGAATCTTTATGATGGGTATTTTGAATTATTTTTCAGGTAATTAATATTCCTGGTTTTTTAGGATCAGTTTCTGGAGATTTATTTTGTTCTTCTGTTTAGGCTGCAATTCTTTGTTTTTTTGTGTTGTGTCTTTTAACTTTATGTTGAGGTCTGTGTTTTTGAAGAATCAACTACATTTCCCAGTCTTTACAGACTGGCTTTTATACAGGGGAAGACCCTCAGCAATCAGCTAAACTGTAGGTTCTGGGTACCTCTGAGACGTTTTTAGGGAAGATACAGCTTCTCTGGTTTGGGTGGGCAATTTCTCAATTAGAGAGGCTTGCCACTTTCTTGTTCAGGAGTTTGTAATCTTTTGCTCTCTCTGGTGTTTGTCTGAGGCACTGCAGGTTCTCTGGTCTATAGCAGAAGCATCCTTCTCTCTGTCTTCTCATTAGCCATGAAGCATTCAACATATGCCAGCTACCCATCAGCACCCAGAGTCGGGTGAGATACATACCAATCCTTCAGAGTGCCCCCCGAAGAGCTAGAATGCAAGACACACATTCCACTTCTTTCCCTCCCATCTGAGGGAGAAGCCTCAAATGATGTGCCTTTTCCCAGTTACTCAAGCTGTGCCAGCTGCAGCAAGCCACCTCCTGCTCTTCTTTGTTCTCAGTGGCCCCCAGGCATGCAAACTGTGCCACTTCCATCAGTGCTTATAAGTGAGGTGAGCAGAAACCAGTCCCTTGGGCAGTCTCTGAATAGACAGAATGTTGGATACCCATTCTATTCTTCTCTTTCCTCCCTGTGGAAGAAGTTGCTAGCTGGGCTGTTCACTCTCAGTGCTGAGCTGTGCCTGCTTGGGGGTAGGGCTGACATAAGTAAAGTACAATTACTTTTCTTTCTCATTTCAGTGTTTCTGTTCTTGACATTGTTGTTGCCTGGTGCACTGCAACTTCTTAACTGGGAAATTTCATAAAGGTATTTTGATGTGTATGTCAATGTTAAATCAGTGATTTAACAAAGATTGGGATTTTCTGTTATACCATCTTGCTGACATCTAATTATTATTTTATAGGATATTTTTACATTGTGAATGTTACATTGTTGGGTGTCTGGATTTTGTTGTTTTCCTTTAAAAGTATTGATTTTCATATTGGCAGACAGTTAATTTATTGAAAAACCTGCCTGATCTTATAAAGTTTTTTTTAAAACACTGTTTAGAGTATTTTTTGCTTTAGGGCTAGTTTAGCTCCATTAAAAAAACATGACCTGCCATGGCGTGTGTGACTTGGTTGATTGGAGCGTTGTCCCATATGCCAGAAGGTTGCAGGTTCGATTCCTGGTCAGGGCACTTATCTGGGTTGCAGGTGCAGTCCCTGGTTGGGGCACATATGGGAGACATCTCATCAATGTTTCTCTCTTACATCGATGTTTCTCTCTCTCTCTCCCTCTCTCTCCCTCTCTCTCTTTCTGACCCTTCCTCTCTCTAAAATGAATGAAAAGCATATCCTTGAGTAAGGAGGGGGAAAAAATGAACCTCCTACAGAGTTTACTAAATGTCTTAGGTGTTCAATAATTTGTCATAACTTACACATTTCCCACTTGTGAGTTCTAGAAATTATTTGGCCTACAACTCCTTGGTAATTGTTATTTGTGCAATTTTGGATAGTTTAATCCTAAGAATGTACTACTTAATGTTTAACTCAAGGAGACCCCATATAGATTTATGGAACTTTTTCTTTGGTAACTTCCTTTCTCATCCTTTTCCCCACCAATTCCAGTCACCTCAGACTCTCCAAACTTTGATCTGTCTTCTCAACTTAGCACGATACTATATTTTGCTTGGGATCCTGCTCATGATCTGGAAATGTCTCCAAACAAAGCTTCATGGCAGTTGCATGCCTCACTTTTCTCAGAGAGTTCCTATTTATTGTCCAGTATTTGAAGGTGTTTGTTCCAAATATTTGGTTCAGTTTTCTGTATTTTTTCCCTCTGTGGAAATGCAAGCCTAGTGCAGTTACTCCATTGTGGTTAAAATGTTACAGTATTTGTCTTTTTGTGGCTGGCTCATGTCACTTAGCATAGTGTCCTCAAAGTTAATCCATGCTGTAGTATGTGACAGGGTTTCCTTTCCCTTTTTGTATTTTTCAGATTTTCCTTTAAAAAAAATTTTTTATATTAAAAAAGTACATAATTAATACTTACAACTTGATGACTTGGAGATAAGTATACACCTGTGACCCCTCACCACATTCTATGTTATAAAAATCTCCCATGACTTCCAAAAGCTTCCCCTCTCCTACCTCCTGGAAACCACCATTGCCTTCTCTGCCTCTGTGAGTTTGACTGTTTTACATTCATTATATAAGCAGTATAATGTAATATTTGTCTTTCTGTGTCTGGCTTATTTTACTTAGCATAGTGTTCTCTAGGTTCATCAATGTTGTCACAAATGGCAGGATTTCCTTCCTTTTTTTAAAGCAGAATAATATTCCATTGTTTATATATCACATTTTCTTTATCTATTTGTCGATTGATAGACTCGTCTTGGCTACTGGGAATAATGCTGCAGTGATCATGAGAATGTAGATCTCTTTGTGATCCTGATTTCAGTCTATTTGGGTATATGCCTGGAAGTGGGATTGCCGAATCATATGGTAGTTCTGTTGTTAGCTTTGAGGATCTTCCATATTGTTTTCCATAATTTACATTTCCACCTACAGTATACCAAGGATCCCTTTTCTCTACATTTTCACCTACATGTGTTATCTGTGGGGGGTTTTTTATATAAAAGTTATCCTACAAGGTGTGAGGTAATACCTTGTTGCAGTTCTGCTTTGTATTTCCCTGATGATTATTGATGTTGGCCAATTGTGTATCTTCTTTGGAGAAATGTCTATTCATTTCCTTTGCCCATTTTTTAATGGGTTATTTGTTTTTTTGTTATTGTATTATGAAAGTTCCCTATACATTTTTAATATTAACCCTTTATTAAATATATGTTTTGCAAATATTTTCTTCCATCCCGTGTGTTGCCTTTTCATTTTGTTGATTGTTTCCTTTGCTGTGCTGAAGCTTTTTAGTTTCACGTAGTCCTGCTTGTTTATTTTTGCTTTTGTTGCCTGTGCTTTTGGTGTCATATCCTTTACTTTTAAAGCTGAATATTATATGTATATACCACATTTTCTTTGTCCACTCACCTGTCAGTGAACATTTGGGTTGCTTCCACGTTTTAGGTGTTGTGAATCATCCTTCTATTAACATGAGTGTGCAAAACTCTCCTTATTACCCTGCTTTCAGCTCTTTTGGATATAGAACCAGAATTGAGATCTCTGGGTCATGTGGTAGTTCTGTTTTTAATTTTTTGAGGAATCTCTTCATGTAGAACTTTCTACAAATTTCATTGCTGTTGCTCCTGCCGTATCTATTAATATGATGGACCTTCATGATTAATATAGCTTTTTTTTTTTAAAATATCTAGAGCCCTCGCAGAATCTCCACCATCTGTAAACAACCTAAAGAGTGAACTTGGTGATAAAGGAAAGAATAAAGATGAAGGGGAAGTTTGTAATCATGACAAAAAGGCTGAAGATATTTGTCCTGAGCCTCATCCAGAAGAGAAAAAGAAGAAACGTTCTGGATTCAGAGACAGAAAAGTACGGAACACAGTTTTATAAGTTAATCAGAACTATAGTTAATACAAAATTAGAATAATGCAGATGAGCCTCTTTTATGATATATTTGAGATGGTTCATATTCAGTTTGAAGTTATTCATCTTTCTGCTATTTTTCCTGTTGTTTTTAAATTTATCTTTATTATTGACAGTATTGCAGGTGTCCTCCTTTTTCCCCCACTGCCCCCCTCCGACCCGCACCTGCCCGCACCCCAGGCCTTTACCACATTATTGTCTGTGTCCACAGTAATGTTTTTATTGATTTTAGAGACAGAGGAAGGGAGAGGGGGAGAGAGAGAGAAACATTGATTGGCTGCCTCCTGCACGCCCCCTGCTGGGGATCAAGACTGCAACCTGGGCATGTGCCCCAGCCAAGAATGGACCCGGTGACCTCTTGGAGCATGGGTCAGGGCTCCACTACTGAGTCACACAGGTTGGGCTCCTCCTCCATGTATCCATCCTGTTCTAAGGCAGACATACTCTTGGAATGTGAAGTTAATGGGATTAGGTAAAGGACCCAAGATTGGTAATCAGGATTAGCATATATTTTTTTCATTCTTTCAATTCAGCTACCTAACATTGATTCTTGCTTTCTGGATCTTTCTGATGTTGAACAGTAATTGAGTCTATGTGGTAATCAGGTTTATGATGCCAGGTTGTAAAGGCAGAATAAAATCTCGGGAAATATACAAATATATTTCCAGAAAATCAATTAATTTTGAGTACAGCATAAACTTCAAGTGACTTCAGCATTCTGTATCTTTAACACGACCTGCTGTTGTATGGCTTTACCTCAGAAAAGCTTCAGTTTCAGTATAACAGTGTCTGTGTTGTTGGGCATTTGAATTCATCAGACACAAGGAATGAAAAGTCAAAAGGGTAAATTGATTAGATATTTTGCATGTTAACATTAAAATTCAGGGAGTTGCCTTCACTTGCTAAAATATAGCTAATCCATGCAAGAGGATAACTAGAGTTATTTTTGCTTTGTGTGTGTTTGTGGTACATACTTACAAGAAGAATTTCTTTGAGAAATTTGGATTTTGTTTGTCTGTTTGGATGAAGTTATTAAATTAGTCATCTCATTTCCTAAATTCATTTCCTACTGAGGTGAATTTGAATGAAAGTTATGTATCACAGGTTAATTGTCAACTATCCCAGTGTTTCCATGATACATTTATTTAAATCTTTTGCCCTAAGTGAATTCAAGGAAAGTTCAAATTTATCTTGCTCCAGCAGTTTCATTTAGAGTTAAAGTTTTACGAAGTTAAACTATTATAAATGACCCAAATAAACATTATTTTTGAACCTTCCATTTTCTAACCCTGCTGTGCTCAGCAGATGACCATATCTCACCCATCAGAAAAAATGAAAGCTGTCAGTGCAATTAATTTGTAACTCCCATAGCTATAAAACCTTTCTGGTCTATGTTTGAAATAATTCTCATTTCTTGCAAACTGATTATTTTTTGTTGTTATTCAGAAGTACAAGCATATAGAGGGCCTAAAGAAAGTTGTTTATTTTGTAACCAGTTTTATGCAGCAGATAGTTGTAGTATAATATAAAATGCCTTTGATTTAAGACTTTTGGCTAAGTCTCAAGGCCACTAAAGGATTGAAAAGCTCCTTAGTATGTTGGCTACATGCCAAATCTTTTGATAAAATCTCTGAAATCAGTATTCAGATTTTAATGAAAATTAGCATTAGAAAAATTGTCATGTATACTTGCAAATTAGCAGACCTTTCTTAATTGCTGAAAGCATATCTGGCAGTGGAAGTAAGACCATTGTTAAACAGCTGCTGCCAGTGACCTCAAAGTGACCACCTAGCCAAGACTGACAGTTACAGTAATAGCTATGTAAGTGTGGCAAATTAAAAACATTAGGTGTTCTTCTTTTTTTTTTTTTTTTTTTTT